TTATTTATAGCATAGTTTATGAATAATTATTTAAGTATGAATGGGGGGGGGGGGGAGGTGTACACGGTTATTAAAGGGCTAAATGGCTAATAAAGCAAACACTAGCTAATATTGAATATCGTTGTGGTAGCCATGTAACTTGACTCTTCGTAAGGTGATCGAATATTCATACTTTGACTTCCATTTTATACACTGGATACTCCGATCCGTAAAATATCTTATTACAAAATTACAAAAAAGAGAGAATTATTATAGATCTTTTTGTGCACAAATATTTTGCATGTGGAGTAACGTACTCTATCAAGCTTTGGTTAAGATTCAGTGGTGTAAACTGAGAGAGGTTCGGAACAAAAGAATGAAAAAGTACGTCATTATATGACAAACTTAGACTTGCCCTAAATTGAAGGGAATCGACGGTATACATGAGAAAGTTGGACATGTAGTCTTAATCATGAATGACAAGAGTGATATGATAAAAGGATCTTCTCTGGTTTAGCAATTGGTTAACTGTATCCCAACTATTAAGTAACCATTATTTAGCTAGGACTAATTTAATTTTAAGATCTTTAATTAAGCTTTTCTTTTTCTTGATTCCTTTGGAACGAACTAAAAGTCCGAAAGGAGACCCTAGAATTTAATTTGTTTACATGTTACACGTTGAGTTAGACAATTATGGGTAAGAAATGTTCGCTTGAAATTTCCCTAGCAGTTTTTTATCTGCTTAAAGGTTAGATATTAGAGCGTACGTCAATATAATGTCAAGATCAGCTTGGATATGATTGAGTGTTTCCTCTCTTAACATTAGATATGATTCATGAGCAGAACAATATTTTACCATTTTAATTGATTCTGTTGAATATTTGATTTTGTCTTCTTACCAAGGTCTAGCATTCGTTAAGCCAATATGGCGTAGCTAAAATACAACTTGCAATGGAGATGCAGATTACCTTTCAATTTAAGAAATAATCTTTTTCTTGTGTGTGTGCGCGCGTCTGTGACCATTTCATTATTCTTGTGGTAAATGGTGTAAGTTATATTTTTGAATTTCATAAATTCGTAGCTAAAATTTTCCACGACAAAAAAGTGGCCGTACTTTTTCAATTTTCACGGTGGAATGAAAATAAAATACTTACTAGTATTTTACTACCATTCTATATCTTTCATGAAAAACATAGGCGCTTTCAGCAACATTCTCTACTTCAGGCAAATACTTCCATTTGTGGCTATGGAATTCTTGAATACGCAGCAAAATATAGGGTGTGTTTGGTACGTATTTTCCATGGAAAATGTTTTCCTAGAAAATGTTTTCATGGAAGATGAGTAGTTTTTATAATTTATTTTCTTTTGTTTGGATGGTGAGTGAAAAATTATTATTTTCGGAAAATATTTTCTAGTATTTGGTTAGAGAGCAAAAAAAAAAAATTATGCTACTCTCCTCACACCCCTTCCCCCAAGTCCCCATATTTCCTTGAAATAAAAGAAAATACTTTTTCTACATCATGAAAAGAAAATATTCATTTTGTTGAAATAAAAAAAAAATTACATCATGAAAATAAAAAAATATTTGTTGAAATGAAAGAAAATACTTTTTCTACGAAAAGAAAGTACTTTTTTGTTGAAATTAATAAAAAAAACTTTTTTGTATCATGTAAAACAAAATACTCATTTGTTGAAATGCAAATAAAAAAAAATCTATTTATAACATGAAAAGAAATACTATTAATAATATTTTTATTTAGGGTGGGGTAGCGGGGTTGGGGTTGGTGGGTGTGGGGTGTAGGGATGGGTTGGCGGGAATGGGGAATAGGGTGGGGAAGGTTGAAAAGGAGTTTTGAAAATATTTTCCATTCTTTTGATAGGGAAAATATTTTCCTCGAATAGGAGGAAAATAAGTTCATTAGGAAAATATTTTCCAAAACATTTAAGTCAACCAAACATGAGAAATTGGAAAATATTTTCCTTTCATACCAAACACACCCATAAATACTATTGCCATGAGCTGAAATTTGGTTATAATGGTTATTATTAATTCTCATCTTATGAGCTAGCTTATGGAGTAGAGTTAGGCTCAATATTTATTTTTTTATTATGATATCAAAGCCAAACTCATTCCAATTCTTAGTTCACCCAATGTTAAAGCCTTATATTATGTTGTCCACACTTCAATTGGTAGGTCCGATATAACCTAGTTTTTGGGATTTAGTTAGACCAAAAGTCAATTTCTTATCGGTTGAACATAAAAGTAGTTACAAATTTGAAACATGCAAAGTTTGTAGCTTGTAACTTTTAGCTGCGCCACTTGTTGCTACAACATTTTACAGGAAAAGTCATAGTGGTTAAAGTGTTCAGCCACAAAAATTTCGTATTTAGTTAAAATATGCTTCATATCTATATGTTGTTGTATTCGTATAATTTAATATGTTATAATACGTTACCTGTTTGATTTTTTAGATTATTAACTCTATTTATCATGAGCAGTTTGATGAACAGGTGATAAAGCCCTAATAATTGTACTCGCATTAGCCACATTATAAACAACATCACAGCTCATTTTGTACGTACAAGGACAAAGAGAGAACTACTAGTACTCCATATGTAGCATTGATCAACGAGCTCTTTTTTTTTCTTTGTCCAGTGGATTCAAACTAGAAAAAACATCATAAAGATAAAAGGGGGTCTGTCCCCTAGGCTTGGCAAGAAAGGGTAACTGCTTCCTCCTCAATTATTCTTAGCATGTGGTGGACTGCACCTGCTATGTCATCTGCTGAGTTTAGTTGGCAACCTTCTTCCACCTGCCATTTTTTTTTAAAAATAATAATACGAGGGTTCCTTTCAATTTCATAGAAAATATTCAGTTTTTGAAATATTTCCTAATCACAAGTACTAAAAGACAACTATGACTTTACTAGGAAACGCCATACAAGAATTGCAAAGAAACACCCTTTCTGACCCATCATTACCTTCTGAAATTAGTATACCTTTTTAAATTCCCAAAATACCCTAGAAAAAATAAGTTGATATCTATGGCACATATTTTCATGCGTAAAGTATACCTGTGCTATTGTGTAAAGTAGATTCTTGCAAGCTGTGGTTCAGAAAAGAGAAAAAAAGAAAAGGAAATGTTAAATGAACAGAGGAAATGACTGTTTTTAACGTACCTTAGCACTGATAGAATAGAGAACCAATGGATCTAAGGTGGTGACATTGAGGTGTAGTACACTAAGGTACAATGACTGAAAGGCAGCTACCAATTTGGAGAGCTGTCGAAATCTTCTTCTTGAGAGGATTCTAACGTTTGCATGAGTTTCAATGAGAGTCACTTCTATGTCTGCAATTGCTGCCTTGCTCTTTGATGTGTATTTGTTTGGTAACTGAGAACATGTGTACTGTGGATATGAGAAAAATTGAGCAAATGGTGTCGGAAAATACTTTTCGCTTGGTACCTCACCATCTCCACCACCTTGTTGTAATAGCAGAAATTTTTGAGCTTCTAGAGATTGTAGAATGTGCTCCAATTCTTTTACAAATTCAATTGCGCCACCAACTATTGAGGCCTGATCACCCTGAACCACATAATATTTGTTACGTCTCAATTCTAAATAAATTGAAGTCAAATATATAAATCTAGCTATATGTGCTTCTTTGAAGTTCGTCTAGAATGATTTTCTTATAAAAACAAATTAGGAAGAGAAAATTGAGATGATGATGTGAAGATTAAAATAAGACATGCACATATTTTGACTTTTTGAAAACTAATATATATAAGATATTCTTATAATGAGGATATATCTTAATCCAAGGTGATGTGTATGTTACTGCATTAATAAATTCACAAAAATGATTGGATTTCAAGTTGTTTAATGTAGGGACTTTAGAAAATTGAATGCAAAGCGTTATATTCCGTTATCCAATTATTTTCAACCTCTTTTTCATCGAATCCTCGACATAGCTTTTTCCTGTTTGTACCTAAAAGGAAAAAAGAAATAAACAATAAAAGAAAAACATAAAGCCCACACCAACCCACAAAAACAACAACAAAAAAGAAGAAAGAATGAAAAAGCTTTTGATGTAGTACTGATTTTTTGTAATAGAGGGACCAAGGCTAAAAGTTTCATTTGCATATATAGGGCTCATAATTCGAGGATGAATGAAGAGAATAGGGCTATGTTAGTGCAGTCATTTCAAACGAAGCAAAAACTTTATACTGCTAATTAGCAGAATAGAAAACAGTGTACAAACAGATTCAAAAAGCTTTTACCATCATGCAAAATAAAGTACTCCGTAGTAAAAATGTTGTCAAAAGTCATAGTAATTCTTAAATAAATTAAAAATTAAAAATTCTCAGTATGATATTGAGAAATACTAGTGAATAAGAAAGAAAAAAAGAGTTATATTACATACCCTTTGAACATAAGATTCAGGCATGAGTGAACGTAAAACAGCAAGATGTTCATTCATCTGTTTCCTCCGATTTCTCTCAACAGCAATGTGAGTCATTCTCTGATTCTCAGCTTCCTCTTTATTCTTACAAACTTTAGGTCTCCTCCTCCTCTTTTTCCGGCCGCCGCCTTGCGCCACCGCCAAATTCTTCTCCCTACGGGTGGTGGTGGTAGTAGTTTCGGGCACGGAGGCAGTGGAATACTGTTGCTCATGACCACAAAAATGTTGAGGTAATGTTAATAAGCCATTTTCATGGTCCAAAAGTAAGGTACCAGAAGCAGCATTTTCAGAACTTGAGGGGTCAAGATTGTTGCTGGTAAAAGGGGTGGCAGAGATTGTATCGTAGATGATGAAGTTAAGAAGTTCATTGGAAGAAAGTGCTTCTAAAGCCATTCTTCTTTTCAAAATTTTGTTGTGATTTTATCTCTTGTGTTTGCTTTGTAAAAGGGTTTTAATTTGTATGTCTTTTTGAGTACCCCGATGAACCCCCTTGACTTGTTTCTTGTAATCTATTTGTATGAAGTAAAAGACTTCAATTATTTTATAGTGATACACCCATTGGTCTTGAACTAGCATGTGTAAGAGAGTGACAGATTTTAGCTGATTCTTTTTTCTTTCTTTCTTTTTTCCGTTCACTTAGCTTTTTCAGGCAGAAAAACTCATTTTGTTATATATGCCGCCCTCACATGCATTATATCCTTCATTTTTTCTAATACTTCTTTAAGTACTCTTAAAATTAAGGAAACTATCTTTGGCAATTTAATTGGAGAAATTATACACATTCAAGATACATGATTAAACGAAACACATAAAGCAAACATGCATCTTTGGATAAAATTACACAAGGTTTATATTGTTTCCTTGTTAAAGATGTGAAGATTCTCTTCCCCCCTCAATCTTACCAATGTTCATAGTATATATTATGAAAAGCGCTTTCCAAAATTATTATCTCACTTAAATATTTCTTCTCAAACAAAATTTCCAATATGTCAAAAGCTAAATATTTCATGCAAAATTCAAGTTCAAGCACCATTTCAATTTCTTAATATTACTTTTTTGTCTTCAATTTTAAATCCTAGTAGTAATGATAAATCTTACCGACTCCCATTTACTAACAGAATCTCGTTTATAAGAATTTTATTTAACCCAAGTAGACCAGATCTTTCGTTTTCTCCATCTTTTCTTATTAATAATTATTGCCTCTCTCTCACTCACAAAAACACACAGAATACATACATACATATAGAAGTCATATAATATTTTCATAGAAAATGTCAAAACATAGTGCCAGAGTGTCTGCAAAGGAAGGGGGTCCAAGGTTGAGGGGACCCAGGATCTAGATTGAGATAGATAAGCATAAAAACAACACCACAAGCTGTGCAAAAGCTACCCTTTCACGTTTTTACTTTATTTTTTAGCTTTTCTTTTTTTTTTCCTTCGAGAATTGGAATGACTGGCTCCCTTTCACTGCTATCTCTAGCTCTCTCCTCTGCTTTCTACCCACTAATCCAATTCCCCAGATGATACGCGTATATCTCCCTCTCCGAGCTCTGTTTTTTTTTTGTGGCTTTCAAGTCTTTAATTAATTTAAAAATATTTATACGTGCCTACCTCCTAATACATGAAGAGCAAATGTATATAATATAAATAGATGGGTAGAAAATACTGATTCCCATTTATTAAACATCTCCTCTCATGCTTTAATTTCGATGGGAAATGTCATTTTTCCATTTAACCTATACGTGAAATGCTCAGAGTTTTATCCCTTTTTTTTTTTTATAATGGTTTTATCTATGGCATAAGGTTAGGGTTAGTCTAAAACTGGAGGGGTTTTTTTTGGGGGTGGGGGTGGGGAGAGGCGCAAAAGGAGTCTCTAGTGTTATTTAGGTTCTGAAACGAACTTCATAGAAATAGTAGGGTTAAGCTTAAAAGTTAGCAGAAATTACAATTAGTTTTCTTAGGGTAGTTTGGTACAATGGATAAGCAAAAATAACTCTAGATAAAAAATTAGTATCGTCTTATTCCCTGTTTGATTACTAATCTTGGAATGTTATCCCAAGATTAAAAATAGTACTAGGATAAACTTATATCTGTTAGATGGTGGAATAATAATCTCAGAATAAGTAATTATCCCAGCATAAAACAGTAAATTTGACAATTTCAAGATTAATACAACATATCAAACAGTCAATAAAAATAATATCAGTATAACTAATCCTAATATAACTAATCTCAGCATAACTTGTCTTCAAACCAAACGACCCCTCCATGGTTGTTTGACCAAAAAGAGCTAAGCTTTTTGTTAAACTACTTAATAAGAAAAATAGAGGATAAATCTTAGCCAATGATAATTAATTCTAGATCAAAGCGCATTGAATAGGAGAATAAAATATAATCAAGCTCATGAACTTTGAGGCTTATAAAAGATATCGAATATAAATGACATGCTTACATTCTTGGTGTATTGTTCAGTAATGTAAGAATAAAGAACGAAAAGAAGGAATGTCATTAACAGCTGTGGGATCTATCTTTGTTGTTCAAGAAAGATATTACAAAGTGTATACGGTAAAATCGGACGGTCCAATTCCTCGCCATCGAAGCACCTTAGAGGATCATCTCGGAGGCTCGAGGCTACAAGGCTACGGTCGAGTTTCCTCTCTCGAGGTTCGTCGACGCTCAACATGGGGACAATGTTAACCACGGCTGTGATAGAAATAGGGAGTTCCCAAAGCACACGGCTAGGGCTGACAAAGTCTAGTAGGCTACTCTAAATCCGAATCGGGGCGCCATCTAGCTGTCCCATTTCCATATCTTTGTAATTAATGCATTTTGTACTATGTTGGGATTCCCCTCATATATAAAGGGGATCCTTATCATTTTAGAAAGCCCTATTGCTTCAGTTGCTCCACACGAAATATACAAGAACATTCTCTCTGCTCTCTAACATATTCTCTTGATATTATTGCTTTCATTTATTATCTTCATTATTGTTCATCATTTATTATTTATCATTGGCCGTAAAGAGCCTTCGTTGATTTTATTATAACTGTTAGTCATACTCCGACCACCTTCAATAGCTCACAGTTGAGCCCCAGAATCGACCTTGAGACCCCCAAATCGACAAGCTCGAGGCCCCGATTGTTAACCTATCGGTTTAGTTATCACCTCACTCCTTACTTTTATCTCGTTTCTAAACCTCACACATAGCATCAAGTGTTTAACAACTAGCATAAAAATAGATCACGTATTTTTAGAGTCCCATAATCAAATTTAATTGATATTACCATTTTTGTGGTAAACAGTTTGGCGCCTGATAACTAAGGATTATGATGCATTTTACACTCCTTCTTACTTGAGTTTTGATTAGAAATATGTAAAAAATAGTCCCAAAGGCTTACATGTTGTACTTGATTGCAGGGTTTGGTCAACAAGGTGACAATTCGTCAAAACCATCTCAAAAGGGAGTGAAACATGCACAAGTACCAAGAACAAGTCCAACCACAGTATAACAAGGCCAATGCAGTCGCACTTTATTTTGTGCGGTCCGCAAAGAGGAAGTTCAGAGAGGTGCTATTTTGGAGACTCAAGCATTGTGGCCGCAAAGCAATTGTGCGGACCGTAATGGACTCAATGCAGCCGCACTCGATATTGTGCGGTCCGCAAAAGCTGGAGTTTAGAGCGTTGCAAATTTGGGGAATATTGCCAATGCGGTCCGCGGTCCTTTTTGTGCGGACCGCAATAGAAGCCATCGCCGCCACAGTGCATTTTGTGTGGCCCGCGGTAGCCAAGTTTAGAGAACAGAAGCTTTATGCCAAGAGACTCAGTGCGGCCGCACTCAATTTTGTGCGGACTGCACTACCCCCGCAGGGGTATTTTTTGTCCAAAAAATTTAACCTAGTATAAATAGCTTCTTTTCCCATTTTTAGGTCATCAGTGGTAGTTTTAAGCAGAGCTGCGCTCGTGAACAGTGTTCCTTTACTATTTTGAGTAATTTTACAATAGTTTTATCATTGAATCTTCAAGTTTTAGCTAGTAATTAAATATTATGGGGTTTTCTTCATCTATTTCTTTATTTTCTTCTATTATCATGAGTAGCTAGACCCATTAGCTAGGGTTGTGGCTCAACTCTAGTGTGAGTATTTGATGGGTCTTGTTTTTTAAAGCTTGAATGTCTATGGGACTAATTTATGGTTTCATTGTTGAATTAGTAGTTGCAAATACTAATTTGTGCCTATTTGACTTGGGCTCTTCTTGAGAAAGAGTGCTTAAGTCTAGAAAAATTAGTCCAACAAGGAATTGGGGCGTATTCAAGAGATTGATAGCTCCAATTAAAGGGTTAAACCTAGAGATAGTAATACCCGACTTGAACCTCAATTGCTTGCACAAATTATCATACCCAATTGGTCTTGAGAAATTCAATTAGGGCAAAATCACTCAAATTATCGAGAGGTATAAAGTGAGTAGTATCGTACAATGGTTATATTGTAATCCCCAACATGACAACCTAGCCTTAGACTCAAGAACCCGTGAAGTGTCCACCTAGGAGAAAGTCACTTAAGAACCCATCAAGTGTCCGCCTAGAAAGTCTCCTAGGAAAGTCACTTCCCTAGGAGAAAGTCACTTCCCCACATGTATCCACGAAACCCTTAAGATGTTTGTAAGCATTTTGATGGGGAGCACCTGTGAAATACCCTCACTGCTCCAACAAAGCCAGTATCACATTTGTAATTTGAAAATTGCCCCTCCGGATCTAGGGTGGGACAATTGCACTAGCATATCCTTGGTTGGGAAGCACTCGAGGAGCCACTCTTGGAGGTGGCGGGGGAGGGTCTGGAACATTATCATTGGCCTAGCGGCCTCTCCTTTGAGCTTGAGGCACAATAGGAACCTCATCATCAATATTGTCATCTACCTCCTCCCCCGGTGGAAGATATCCAATAGGTGCGTTGTTTGCTGCCATTTTGTACCTGAATTTACGACACTCACAAATTAGTAACATAGAAGGAAAGAAAAATAATACACAAAACTATTTAGATAGATAGCCAAAGTCGTTAGCTCCCCGGCAACGGTGCCAAAAAGTGATCGGGTCCAACCCTACACCACTACAAAGTGGCAAGAGCGGTCGATGTAGCTTTTACCCGAGATGGTCGGGATTGAATCCACAGGGAGCTAGATTGTTTGGGATTTGAATTCCTATCTAAACTAGCAGTGTGTAATGCTTTTAATTATACTTCCAATCATAATTGTTCGTTTGTTACTTCTAATTTTATGCTAATGAGATGCTAAATTAAACTAAGAGTAAATACTTGTAAGGTTTTCTAAATGGATAACGAGGCACTAGGGAAGTGATTTTCTCCTAGGTGAATATTTGACGGGATCTAAAGCCTAAGGAAAAGTTGTTATGTTGGGGATTGCGATATAGCCTATGCAAGGAACTACTCACTCTATATCTCTCGGTAGCTTAAGTGACTTTGCCCTAATTGACTTTCTCAAGACCAATTGGGTGTCCAAATTATGCAAGCAATAT